CCCCGCACCTGCTCCCACCCTTGGGCCGGCCGCCTGCACGCACCTGCCTCAGTGGACCAAGGGGACCCCCTGGACCAAAGCCACGGCCGCTGCAGCGAGACCTGGAGGGGATCTGGGCATCCCTCGCCTGAGCCAGGGACGCTGAGGTGCAGGGGGAGGAGGGCCCAGGACAGCCCCAACCTCCAGCCTGGGGCACGGGGCGAAGGGAGCAGCCTGCCTCCCCTGACGGTCCGGTCCCGTGAGCCCCTCGCCCAGGCAGAGTGGCGCGGGGCCGTGCACACAGATGATTCACAACGACGGGCCCCCAGGCAGGTGTGCTCAGAAGTGGGTTCAACAGGCCCCTGCTGTCCGCTCAGCAGAGCCGTCGCCCCCTCTGGAGGGGAGCCGGGCTGCACCCCCATGGCCCCGCCCCATGGGAAGCCCAGGACTGGGGATGGGTGGGAGTCTGTGTCAGCAGGTGGGACCACCAGCTCCCCAGCTTAGAACCACCTGGGGGGCAGGTAAAGCCCAGGGCCGCAGCCAGAAGCAGGACCTGGCCAGGACCGAGGGAGGGGAGGGGGGAGGAGCCACCACAGTCCAGAAGCCCGCTCCCCACCAGGACGCCTGGGACCGGCACAGCGGGATGGCAAGGGTCTGGAATGGGGGGAGGGTCTGGGCCAGAAATGGGCTGCGTGTGGGGGGGGTGGGCCACAGCCAGGCCTGAGACGTGCCAGGGACCAGCCCCACCGAGCCCCATGAACACATGGCGCCACCAGGCCTGCCGCTCCTGGGGTGGGGGGAGTTAAGCTGACGCACAGACGCTAGCCTCCCACGTGTGCACGCACCGGGCACACCTCACTTGGGCTCACGTCCAGGGAGGGTCCTGGACGGGGGACCCCGTGCCCACAGGCCAGCTCTCCTGCACCCCGCCCCTCAGCCCCCACCTGCCGGGCTGCGGCGTGGTGGCTGCCCTAATGGACCCTCCTGGCCAGGCCAGCAGCTGGCCCACGTGAGCCCAGGGGTCCCCGAGGCCGGTGCCCCACCCCCACCCAGACCCTCAGCCCCTTCCTTCACCCCGTGGACAGCATCTCGCTGCCGTCCTCCCTTCTCCCGGCCCATGTGGCCCAGCTGGCGCATCCATGGGTTGGAGACAACTAGGACGCCCACAGACCCTGCGCCCTCCACGGGCTCCAAGGGTGGGACCCGCGGGTGGGGCTCTGCTGGAGCAGCTCTGCGTGGGGCTGGGCTGCAGCCGAGGTGGTGCACAGCCTGGCGGGCACCAGGGCAAGTGGGCAGGGACGACGGGGCCCTGGGGACACGTCCCAAAGCAGCTGCACGGACTCAGGCCCATGGCCTCGCGCACCACACAGAGCCTAAAGACAAAACTGGGGGCTGCAGGCCAAGTCCAGCCAGACCTGCATCCTGAAGGAGGACAAGGTCTTTAAACTGTCAACCTTCAGATATCAGGAGAGTGCACATAATAGACCAAACCTTTGGAAAGGCGACTTTCTGAGCCACACCAAGCCCACCGGCCCCCGGCACCAGCGGCTGGAGCTGAACGGCAGCTGCCCACCACTCGGGCTGTCCACCCACAGCTTGGGGGGTCTGCCCATCGCTCAGGATGCCTGCCTGTCACTCACTCAGAACGTCCCACTTTATCAGGAAGGCTGCCCACCTCTGGGGACACCCACCCATAGCTCGGGCTGTCCACCCGTCTCGCAGGACATCTGCACACAGTCCCTGCGGCCCCACCTGGCTCAGCCCTCCTCACCACCTTCTGAGCCTTGGGCAGCTGGACCCCTCTCTCCTGGGGACAGCCGGGGACACCGAGGCCCAGAGGGCCTGCTGGGTGCCGCAGGGCAGCACCGCGCTGGGACTCGAGCTGCGGCGTCAGCCGCCAGCCCGGGCTCTCCTCTGCCCCTAGGCGGCTCTGGCCCAGAGTACACGCATCAGGACACCAGGGCCGCAGCCCCGGGCCCTCCCCAGAGATGGGAGGGAGGGAGCCCACGTCCCTGAGGGGCGGGAGAAGGAGCTGGGGGCCGGGGGTCTGTCCCGCCCTGACCCTGGCCAACGGGCTGTTGGGTCAACTCTCAACACCCACTCAGCCCCGAAGGTTCCTTCGCCCCTCACGTGCAGGCCCTGGGCCGGACGCAGGGCAGACACGGCACGGTGGGCAATGCAGGCCCTCATCCCACAACAGCCCCCAACCTACGTAACAATAAGCAACAGCGTGGGGGGCCTCAGGGGTCTGCGAGGAGCTGGAGGACAGCCGGAGCTCCCCAAACCCCCCTGGGGATCGGACCCCCGGTGGGGGAAGGGGGCAGGGCGGCGGTGGCACCTCACACCACTGCTGCAGGAGCCCTCCGCCCGCTCCCAGCCCAGGGACCCCCCAGCTCTACCCAGAGCCACCCCACAGGAGGCCTAGCTCCCTCTTCCAGCCAGTCCTGAGAGGCGGGGGTCAGGGCCAGGGGGTGGGCGTGACACTGAGGTGAGGGAGGGTTCTGGGAGCGGAGCACGCACACAGAAGCATCTTCAAACCGTCCACCCTCCTGCCCGTGACGCAGGGTTCGGCCTGCACGTCCGCCCGCCCATGACCAAGGCCAGGACGCTATCCACACCCAGGAAGGGTACGCAAGCCCCCCCACCCCAGTCTCAGGAAATGGCACCGCTGCGTACCTCCAGCCCCAAATCGGGGTCCTCCTCGATCCCCCAACATCTAACCCAAGCCCACCCATTTCCCACCCCTCGGCCACATGACCCCTGTTCTTTTCACCCAGTCACCCCAAAGTCCAGCACACAGGAAGAGCCGTTTGTGGGAAAGCACAGATTCGTAAAAGACGGACTGAGAGACGGACAAGAGGACAGAGAGAACAAGACAGCAGTGGGGGCAGTGGGATGAGCCTGCAACACACAGAGGTTCCCACGGGGTCACTGGGAACGGGGAGCGGAGGGCAGGCAGTGGAGGTGGGACACGGCACAGCCCCTCCCGGGCTACAAGAGGGCCAGGGCCACATCGCCGCCCCACACACCGCCTGGGCTGGCACGTGGGCTGGAGAAAGAAGAGTGGAGGCACGTGGGCGCGTAGGACCCTCTGTCCCGGCCCAAGTCTGGCTGCACTCTGCCCCAGGGCTGACCCCACCAGGCCCTTGCCCACCACCACACCCACTGTACCCGTAGGGAAACCAAGGCCCACGGAGTCAACAGACTTGCCCTTGGAGGACACAGGGATGGGGCAGCCGAGTCAGGTCAAAGCCCAGCTCCCTGGATGCCCCGCTGGGCCCGACACCCCGAGCCCCCAGCGCACACACCCAGGGCGGCACTCTAAACTTCACCCAGCGTGAGAGGGGCACTCCCACCCGAGCCTGGCTGGCCAGTGGATGCCCCAGTAACTGGGACAGGAGCTCTGGCAGCCCTGAGGCCTAGGCATCTCCTAGGTCAGTCCTTAATCGAACAGTCAGTTAACAAACAGTTGCCAAGGATTAAGGGGTACCGGTCCCCGTCTGCTCTTGTGCTGCCACCAGGCACAGAGGGGAGGACGGGGACCAGGGTCAGAGAGGGCATCCTTGCCACCAAAGAGGGCTGAGGTGAGGCAGACAGAGTAGGACCTGATGGGGAGCGGGGGTGGGAGGCTCCAGGCACAAGAAGTGGTACTCCTGGGGGTCAGGAAGGGGTAAACATTGGGGGAGGGGATCCAGAAGGCCGCTGGATGCAGGAAACCTTGGAGGGGCTCGCCACGGACCACAGGCCCCTGTGGCCACCTCACCTCCGTCTTGAGGCCCAGTGCACTGTCCTCCCTGCAGCCGCCTAAGTGAGCTCTAAAAACACACAACAGGCCACATCCTTGATCCCCTGCTTCGTGCCCTCTGCAGCCCCTTGAGGTCTCAGCTCCATCACTCCTGTGCTGCCCACCGCAGCTCCTGCAGCTTCCCAGCCTGCTCTGCTGGGAGGCTCCTATGCATCCCACAAAACCCAGTCTTGTGACACCCACTTTTGCCGTGCCTCCCTGTGTGCTCCACCTATGTCTGAGGTTCCCCCTCCCAACAGCCCGTGGGATCCCGAGGTGGGGATGGGGACACCCTCACCAGAGGGTGTGCATGAAGAGTGGCGTGGCTAGTGGCTAGCTAGCATGGGATCGCCAGAGCTTTGGGAGGGAACAGGTCTGGAGGAAGAGCAAGTTGGGGGAGCAGGTGGTGACTGGCCAATCCCCGCCCTGGAGCAGGAGGGAGTGACTTACCCAGGCACCTGGACAGGAGGCCTGTCCAGCCCCCAACCACCGGCCGCTAAGCAACAGAGGGCCGTGGGGCAGGCAGGGCCGGAAGGTGAGGGGCCCAGGCCCAAGCTCCCGTCCCAGCAGCTCCTCACTGAGCCCCTCCCTGGGCACAGGGCCATATGAGTGAGCACAGGGGAGGCTGAGGGGGCTCCAGGCCAGCTGGCTCAGCAGCTCCAGCATAAACCCGCCCCGAGCTGGGCCACTGGGTGGCACGGAGCCCCCTCCCGCCTACAGCCAGGCCAAGCAGCCCTGCCCTGCCCTCAGGAGCCCTCGGGCAGCGCCCCGGGCCACTAATGCGCCAGGCCTTGGACCGGCCCCAGCGTCCTCGCTGCCTTCCAGGAAAGCGGGTGGCTCTTCCTGCCCACGGCCCCAGCCAGGCAGCCACTCATGGGCTGCACGCCGGCCCAGGGCACACGTCCCCGCCCGGGAGGTCCCACGAGGCCATGCCCTCCAGGCCGTGGGGACACTGGGCCCCAAAGCGCACCCGGGCCGGTCCAGGAGGGTCCAGGAGCCCAGGGAGGCCTCGCTCGCCCGGCAGCCACGGCCCAGGCCGCCCCCAGCCACTGAGGAGCCACAGGCCCACTTGGGACCCTCACCCCCGGCCGGCCCCGCGGGCACTGACCTCGTTTGTGCAGCCAGCCCTCCTTCACGATGGCCACGTCGTTCATGGTGCCGGGGCTCCTGCAGGCCTGCGTGGCCCAGACCTCGCTCACACGCCTCTAGCAGGGTCCTCCCAGAACCCAGCGGGCTGTCAACAGCCTCTGGAAGAAGCAGAGGGAAGTGTGAGGCTGTGTTGGGCTTGGGGACACTCCTCGGATCTCGAGGTGAGCCCAGGAGGCCCGTAGCGCCTGGGGACTCAGCCCGGGTGTGCCTTCCCACACGACCTGTGCCCTCTTAGCATCCAGAGCCCCTGCTGGCCCCCGCTCTGCCTTCCCGCCACGGCACCTGATACAAAGTCACTCACACTGCTCCCTGGGCCCAGGCCTCCCCTCCCCCTGGGCTTCAAGTCCCTGCCACCATCCCTCCTGGAACCCCAAGCCCTCAGAGCTCACTGCCCCCCTTACCGACCCATTCCCACCTCCCCTGACCTTTGTACAAATCACTCCTGTCCCCAAAAGGCCCTCCTGGTATATCCCAGCCTCCCTAACCTGCCGGCCCAGCGGAGGCCACCTCTTCCAGGCAGCCCCTCTGACTGCTTCAGCCCACACCACTCAGCCTCCCCAATCTCCTGGTGAGGGTGCCCAGTTCTCCCTGTCCATGGTGTTCCTGCCCAGAGGCTGGGGTTCCCAGGCAGAGTCCAGAGCTCCTCTTCCCTGCCCCAGACTGGGAAAGGAGAGAAATTCAAACGTGACGTCTCAAGAAGGCAGGGGCAGGAGTGCAGGTAATTGGTACAAATGAGAGCTCGGAGCCCTCCAGGGTGACATGAAAACCCCCTACACACCCCCATCCCACAGAAACGCCGAACCCCTCCTAAACCACAGTGCCTCCGCCGGTCTGAATCTGGTTCATTCATTCGGCCAATATGTGCTGGGCATCTCTGGTTTTGCCAGGCTCAGCGCTGGGCACTGGGGACAAAGAGGGGTTCCGACGAGTCCCGTCTGTAAGGAGTACCCAGTCCAGGGTGGTTACAGACCCGTAATTACAGCTTCCAGGAGGCAACAAATGGGGAGGACTGTGCAAACTCAGAGGCACTGGCACCCGCCCTTTGGAGGCCCACCAGCAGCCTTCTCTTGAGCAGACACTTTGGCCATTGATCCTTTATGGCCCTCCCCAATGCTCCCCTGCTGGATGAACTCCTAGGCATCCCTCAAAACCCCATTCTCACATCACCGGTTCCGAGCATCCTGGGACAGAGCACTCTCCCCATGAGCAGTCCTCTGCTACCCTTCCAGTTGGGCACTCATGAGGGCAGGCCAGGAAAGACTCCTCTCGGGGACACCCAGGCCGGGCAGAGACCCTGAGTACCTCCAACATGGGTCTTCCTACAGCCACCTAGACACTCTCCCGCAGCCCACCTTACTGGCCTCCTGAGGCATGGGCTAAGCACCAAGAGAAGGCCGCTTTGCACTGACTGTCTTGGGCTAAATTTGGAAGGACAGGAAGAGCCACTCACTGCCTTGTGTCTGGGACAGGGAAGACGCTCCTTGCCCAACACACTCAGCAAGCCCACAGGCAGGGATGGCAAGTAAGACTGGAAGAGGTACCACCAAGGACAGGGCTCTGAGCCCCAACTGGCAGGCACAGGGGGCTCTGGTGACACTTGAGTAGGCGTGGCCTGGAGGCAGAGGGCTGGACTCAAAGACCTCTGGATGTGCCCCTACCCCCACTGGGGCCTGAGCAGGGCCTGGTGCTGACAGAGTCAGACAGCTGCCGACGGCCCCGTGTGTAAAAATATATCTGCACATACACAGAGTGGTGTGCATGTGCACAGAAACACACACACCGAGCCAAGGCCTGGGCTGCCTCTGGGCACAGGGTGGGCGGCACGGATGGGACCTCTGCTTCCTGCCGCTTCTGTCCTGTGAGCGACTTCACCACAAAGGTGAATTACTGCTATTATTACTTAAGTCACAACCTTAAAAAAATAATAATAATTTGTGCTCTGAAGGGCCCCCTCCCCCTGCGTCCGAAACACTGGTTTATGAACTGGATGCTCAGCTGGGGAGCAGGGAACCAAGCCCCACAAGTGTACCCCACCCTTCACCTGGACCAGAGCTCACAGCAGCTAGGGGTGGCCTGAGCAAGGTGGAAGGGGGCCAGGAGTGAACGTCGGGGGCCCTCTGGCCACAGAGCACAGGCCCAGGGCCCCAACTCTGTCCACCGCGACAATACTCGGGAACCAATCCCACCCACCAAGTTCATCAGCAGCCCCGGGCCTCCGGGTTGGGTGGGCAGCACCCCCAGAACCCACCCAGCTCAGGAACAAGTCTCAGGGCCCAGGAGGGCTGCAGTCCTTTGTGGGAGGGCCTGGGCACCCAGCCACCATGGACAACTTTTTGTCTATGGGAAAATGAGGTCCCTTCCAAGGGCCCACCCACAAACTTCAATAAGGGCCGGGGCGAGCCTTTTCCTCGGCCCCCTGAGCACCTACTGTGCGCCGGGGCCCCCCTGGCCGGGCGCCCGGGCAGCCCCCGGCCGCAACGGTGCCCCGGCCCCCCGCGCGCGGCCGCACCCCTCCGCTCCGGCCCGGGCCTCGCCCGGCGGAGCCGCTTCCCCAAGGTCATGCGGGAGGCCGGGGCCGGAGGCACGCACCCCCAGCGCCGGCGCGGCCCGCGCCCTCCCCGCCCAGGCCGCGCTCGGCCACTTCCTGCTCCCGCTCCTCCATTCCAGCCGCGCGCGGCCCTGGCCCCGGCCCCGGCCCCGGCGGCCGCGAACAAAGCGGCCGGGCCGCAGGGAGGAAATCCGGGCCCCGGCGGCGGGCGGCGGGCGGGCGGGGACTCACCGGGCGCCGCGTCCGGCGCGAGCGCGGGCCTAGCCGGGCCGCGGCCTCCGGCGCCCGCCGCTCCGCATCCCCGCGGGCCGGCCGGCCGGGGCCGGGCTGGAGGCCGCGGCGGGCGCTGCTCGGGCGGGCCTCGCGCGCCGCCGGACCCGGAGCTCGTGCGCGGCCGCCGGCTGGCTCCTCCGGGCTGCGCTGGCTGCGCTGCTGCGCTGGGCCGGCCGCCCGCCCGCCGCGCTCGGTCCCGCCGGCCCGCCCTCTCCCCGCCCCGCGCCCGCCCCGCCCGGCCGCCCGCCCACATCCGCCTCCGCCGCTCGGGGCGCCCCCACCGTGGGCCGAGCGAGGGCGCGGCGCCGGGGGCGGGAGCGCGCAGCGGGCGGCCCTCGGGGACGGGAACCTCTGCGCTCCTCCGCGGGGCCTGTCCCCAGGCCACGTCCTCTCTGGCCTTGGTTTCCCAGTTTGTCCGGTGAGCCCGCACTTCTCGGCCCAGTGCTGCCCCGACTCTGTTAAAAGGGCCGGTCTGGGACGAATTCTGGGCTTCTGCCTCCATCGGGCGGGGCTGGGGTTGGGGTGTAGGTTAGTGTGACTTTTAGAATGTGCCCCAAGTGGTAGTTGAAGCTCGGGAGCTGAGGGCTGCAGGGGCCGGGATGGTCCTAAAAGACCCAATCCAAGGACCCTAACTAGTGCAGGTCCCCTGGGGGTCGTGCAGGAGGCTGGCTGGAAGGTGGGCGATCGGTCATCTGTGTGCTGAAGGCCTACTGTGGGTCTCGCCCTGGAGTGAGCGGCAGTGCGAGGCCTGCTCCCTGGTTGGGGTCTGCCAGGAGCTCCCCTTCCCCAAAAGGAAAATACTGACACCTGGCAGCTACGAAAGTGGACGGGGACTTCATGTGGTGACAGAGGGAGAAGAGTGCCACAGGGGCCAGTGGAGGGGCGTCCAACTGGCACCGCTTCATCCAGCACACCTGGCCTGGAGTGACCGCCCTGAGTCGGGCACAGACACCCAGAAGGGGTGCTGGAGGGGGCAGACTCCAGAGAAGAGCGGTCACGGCTGAGGCAGCCCAGGATCCTCCCTAATGTCTGGTTGGGCCCCAGGCACTCACGGTCCACTGGGGGACAGCTAAGGGGCCAGCAGGACACTGCAGACAACTCCCCACCCTGACCCCTCCCTGGGCCCTGTTGATCGCAAGTTTCTCCAACAGCTGCCCCTCCCCCCAACCCTGAGGCCTCCAAGTTGATGGTAAGCCTTTTGTAAAAGGAAGACTTGTGGGCTACCTTTCTGGGGTTGGTATGTACTTGGGGGGAGGAGGACATTTTTGTTCCTCGTCCAGGGTCAGAGTTCAGCCTGGGGGGGTATAGACACTTCATCTGGGTCAGAGGTAGAAGCAGCTGAGCACCCAGGACAGCGTCCGCAGCCGGCACTAGGACTCCGCCGTCCCTTCCTCTTGGGGCTGACCGAGAGAAGGCCGCTCCTGAGGGAAGGACTGCCTCCCCTGCTCGGGGGGACACTCGCTCCTCCGGGGGAGGACACCCAGTTCTGGGCCTCTCCCCTTGGCACCCCGCCCTCCCACCCCAGCCAGCTGCGTGAGCTCTGAATGTGCACCCCCAGGCCCCGCCTCCAGGGGCCAGGGGAGAGGCCCGACTGGCGCGTGCTGCTGGGGCACCTGGCCGTCGCTCACCCCCTTCTGGGACCATCCCACCCACCCACCGTTCTCCCAGGAGGGGTTTCCGCACCCACCACCCATCCTGCGCTGGCAACGCTGAGGAGAAGGCAGAGGAGGCCCGGTGGCCTCGAGGGCCACTGGGGGCCCCGGGAGGGCGCCCTCTCGTGGATAACGTGGCGACTCCCCAGGCTGTCCTCGGGCCTGCCGGCCATTTGAAGACAGCATCTTGGCCAGAGGTGTCATCACGGTGGTGCAAAACCTCCAGGCTTCCTCACCACTGGCCCATCTCCAGGAGGCCTCCCTGCCCAGTGCGCCCACCAAGGGCCCGTGACCTGCGGTGAGCCCCACACCCCATTCCGTGCAGTGCCTACATGAGCCTGCCCTGTGGCTGGGGCATCTCTTCGGGCAGGGCCAGCGCCCTCCTCTGGCCTCTGGAGGTAAAGCAGAGTCCCTCTCTAGAACACCTCCTGCCTGCCCCCCCCAGACAGAATGTCAAGGAGAGGACCCAGACCCACCGGCCACCCTGGCTGAGGCTCAGGCCGCGGAGGAGCCCCTTAGACAGATGTTTGCAACAAAAACTGCTGCACCGGCCCCTGGGGAGGAAGGCCACCTGCCCCCTCCTAAAGCACAGGGTCTCTGGCCCTGTCACCTTCCGCAGCTGCCGGCCATCGGGCAGGGCTCAGGGGCCGGAGCCCCGGGCTGCCCAGTCTCAGCAGCAGCTGTAGGGCGGGGCCTCCAGGCAGCTCCCGGGCCAGATGGCCGCCTGGCTGGCTGCGTTCAGGGACGCTGTGCCCCCACCACTGCGACAGCCTCCTGTCATCCTTGTACCCAAGACCGCACCAGGCCGAAGAGGGGATCTGGGAGCCAGGGGGCTGCTAGCTGCCGAGTGCCATCTCGGGGCTGCCTGGGATGGCGGCTCCTGGGCCTTAAGGAAGACTTAACTCCAGGAAGACTTAAGACCTTCCGACCAGAAAAATGCAGGGGCCTCTCTCCCCCATCCCCTCCTCCCAGTGAGGTTTCTCCTCCTTTAGCCATCCTTACCCAGCACAACCCCAGCCTCTTGCTGGCAGCGTCCCCTGCTGCTGCTGTGACCCCTGTCCATGCCCCACAACCTCTGTCAGGGCCCCAAGGAGCCCTCTGTCCCACCAGCCAAGCAGGGCAGGCCAGGACACTCTGCCCGCCCCAGGGCCTCACTCCTCGTCTGGCTGGGGAGGTGGGCACGATGGAGCAGCCGGGATTAGGTTGGTGGCACCCGTGGACATCCCGCACAGACGCCTCTGCCCCGCTTTCACTCAAGAGACACAACTGCACCCACACTTTGTGCCACGCCAACTTCTTGGCAGCGAGGATACAGCGGGGAGTGGGGGGTGCCGAGGCCACATTGACACGGGGAGCACTCTGGAGAAGGCCAAGGCCACAGAGGAGATTGTGGGTTTGGGGGGACCTGAGCGGGGGTGATCAGGAAGGACCACTCCCAGGGGGTAACACTGGCGCAGAGACAGGACTGGGGAGGAGCCGGGAAGGGCTCTCCGGGGAGAAAAGTGTGGAACCTGAGGACTAGCCATGAAAGGGCCTGGAGTCTTGCTGTGTGCCAGGCCCCGCAGTTAATCTACCCATTCTGCAGGTGAGAATATTAAGGTTTGAAGAGGTTAAGGGTCATGCCCAAGGCTGGGAGGGGGCAGGGGCAGGGCTCTGATGCAGGCAAGACCCCAGGAGGCAGTCCCCTCCGGGTTCACTCTGAGCTGACTTGAAATCAGCTCCCCCCGCTGGGGTGGGGGGGCGTGGGTGTGGAGGAGGAGGTCGGCGCTCCTCAGGAAGGGATCCCCAGAGCGCCTGGGCCATGGGAGCCAGGGCAGCCTCTCTGGCTCTGAGTGCAGTGTGAGTCCAGGGTTCCAGGCTGAGACTGCCGAACCTAGGAAATAAAAATGCAAGCTGTCCGGTCAAGTTTGAATTTCAGGTAGATAAGGAATAGTATTTTAGTATAAGAATGTGGCTTTCCTTCCCTCAGACTTTCGGTCCTAACTGCGGTGGGCCCTGGGGCCTCTGGCCACTCCTCAGGCCCCCACCCCACCAGGGTTTGAATAGGATCCCTGGGGGCTCCCACCCCATCTCACAGCCAGGAACCCCCTCCTCTCAGGGGTCCCAGCCTTGCAGGGGCATGCTGGAGGGCTCCCCACACCTCTTGCTGCTTCCTCTGCCCTGGTACACCTGCCCAGTGGGGTCCCGGCCTTTGTAATGCAGCCCCTCCCCCAAGACCACCCCCACTTCTGGTCAAGGCCCCCTTTCTGCTCCTCCCCGGCTGCTGGGCTATGCAGTCGAGAATTGAGGACACTGCCAGATCTGAATCCTGGTTCAACAACTTACTGCCTGCTGTGTGGCCCTGGGCACCTTAGCGAACCTCCACCTAAACGGATCAGAGCACCTGACTAGCAGGATTGCTGTGAAGAGCTGAGCAATGGCCCACAGTGCCTCAGTCCTGCTCTGCCCAGGGTGGCTGGGAAAAGACCCCCACCAACAGCACACCCCGTCCCAGGGGCCCCAACCTCTCCAAAGCCACTCCTATTTTTCTCGGGCTCTTTCCTTCACGCAGCAGATCTGGGTGTCCCCTCACACCTTCACGGTGCCCTTGCGCCTGAATCACCAAGCCCCGGGGGACGCCAACCCAGCCCCTCCAAGGCGTCTCCTCTCCCTGAACGCTTTCCCGCTGGCTCTGGGGTCTGGGTGCACATTCCTCTCTCTCCATCACCGCGATGGTCCCCTCACCCCCATCACTTCTGGGACGTGCGCAGCCCCCAATGCTTTCCCAATACACCGCTCAGCGCCCGGCTCCCAGCAGAGGCTTTGCTGGGTGGGCTGACAAGATGAGAGTTCTCTGTTCAAGACTCCAAGGTCGAGAACCCGGCTGTGTTTGGAAGAGGGTCCCAGCTAAATTAACCTGAATTCAAAACGAGGCCTTTCAACGAAAAGGGGGTGTCATCTTTTCCATATTTACGACCACCCACTCCCCCTGCTCCATCCCAGGGCAGGCGCCCCGCGAGGTGGCAGGAGGCCGTGTCCCGTCTGTGCCTTCGGGTTACTTGCTTCAGCGCTGGCCGGGAGAGGAGCTGGTCCTCGGAAGGGGTCCCTTAACAGACGGGCGCAGTTGGGACCCCATGCGGGGGGGGGGGGGGGCCCTGGGGACGAGACGGCAAGTATCGGGAGGGGGCCCCCCCCCCCCCCCCCCGCGCCGCGCCCCGCGTCCCCTCCCACCCCAGCGCCCCAGATGGCGGCGCGCGGGGCCCGGCCGGGCGGGGCGGACAGGGAAGGGGTGGCGTGGGTGACCTCAGCGGTTCCGCCGCTCCGGGAAGTCGCCTCGGCCCGCCCCCTCCAGCCCCCGCCCCGAGTTTCGCTCTCTCCGGGGCGGGGCGAGCGGAGGGTGCTGCCCGGCCAGCCAAGTTGGAGCGCGCCCCGCCCGGCGCCCTCCCCGTCCCCGCGCCCTCCCCGCCGGGACGCGCTGCCCGCAGCTCCGCGCGCGCCGGGGCGGCACCGGGGAGGGCGTGCGGCGCGGGCAGCGGCCGGAGAGGAGCTCGGGGCGGCGGAGGTGAGCGCGGGGGGCGGGCGCCCGGCTCTGCCCGCCCCGCCCGCCGGCCCGCTCCCCGCGGCCGCGCTGCCATAAATGGGGCCCACGGCGGCGGCGGCTGCATCTGGCGGGCCGGGCAGCAGCTGGAGGCGGCGCGGGGGCGCGGGCCGGGGGTGGCGGTGGCGCGGCGACTCGGGCGTCGGGGGACGCGGCAGGCGGCCGCCCGGGAGTGAAGTTCAGAGGCGCCCTGGCGGGGAGGGGCACTCCCGGCGGGGACGCGCGCAGGTTCGCGCGACTCCGGCCCCCTCCGCCTGCGTCCCGGGACCCGCCCCCGCGGCGGAGCGGCTCCTATTTACTTTCGATCGAGTTTTTCCTGCTCCGGGCAGGTGCCCAGGGCGGCTCCAGGCGGGCAGTTGCGCGCGGAGCCCCGCGCCCCTCTCCCCGCGCTGCCCGCACCCGGGAAGGGCTGGGGGCTGGTCGGGCGACTGGGGGTGAGCGGCGGCCGCGGCGTCTCCAGGCGCGCTCACGGGAGTCCCGTTTGTGCCCAGGTGATGACCGCGGCGGCATGGAGTTCCCGGAGCACGGCGGGCGGCTGCTGGGCCGCCTGAGGCAGCAGCGTGAGCTGGGCTTCCTGTGCGACTGCACCGTGCTGGTGGGCGACGCGCACTTCCCGGCCCACCGCGCCGTGCTGGCCGCGTGCAGCGTCTACTTCCATCTCTTCTACAGGGACCGGCCCGCGGGCAGCCGCGACACGGTGCGGCTCAACGGCGACATCGTCACGGCGCCCGCCTTCGGCCGTCTGCTGGACTTCATGTACGAGGGCCGCCTGGACCTGCGCAGCCTGCCCATCGAGGACGTCCTGGCCGCGGCCAGCTACCTGCACATGTACGACATCGTCAAGGTCTGCAAGAACAGGCTCCGGGAGAAGGAGCGCGCACTGCCCCTGGAGACGCCTGCCCCTGGGGCAGAGCTGCCTGGCCAGCCCCCAGGCCCCTTGTCTGCCTGGTCCCCTGCACTCTGTCCAGCCGCCCAGAAGGCCAGGCTCCCTCCCGCTGGGGTCAAGGCCACGCGCCCTCCACTGGCACGGGGGCCTCCCCCCTGGCAGGCTCCTGGAGAGTCAGACCGGGCCCTGGACCTGTCGCTGAAGCCTGGCCCGAGGCGGGAGCCAATCCACCCACCCTGCGTCCTCCAGACACCCCCTTGCAGCCGGATGCAGCCAGGGGCCCAGCCGATCGTGAAGGACGAG